AACTCAATGAGAAATTAGTTAAATAATTAAAATAAAAAAATTACAAGACAAAGTACACTGATCTTATGCACAAATAGAAGCGTGCTGGCAGAGTCATAATAACTGGAATTGACTATCTGATATTGTACATTGAACGTATTACGAGTCAATTTTTAATCCAGTTTTGCTGTGTGTATAAAAAATTGTGCACACGGAAAACTGCTTAAACACACACACACACAACACGGGTGGGGTCCACATTTTTTGCAATATTGAATTTCACGTGGAGCCCACCTCCATGTGAGTTTTCTGTTGAACTTCTGTGATGATTTTTCTGTACAAATGGAAAAATCCCTTTTAATCTGATATTGTATATTAAAAATTAAAACATGTCATTTTGTCCATTTATTATTCTCTCTACTCCGGGTTCAAAGGTGTCAATGCTTATTACTCAATAAAGTATTTAAGTTGCAAAAAAGTTCACTGATTTAAAGAAATGATTTATTTATAACTTAATCGTAATAATGAATATTAATTTATTCATCAATTAATACTATTATTTTCACTTACTAAGAAAGAGAGGGACATCAATAACAATATATAGATGGAAGCATTTGAGAGAAAGGGACAAGACATCATGGCATTCACCTTATAATTATTATTACATTTTTGTTGTTGGTATATAATTATTAATTAATGATGGGGTCCATTTGACATAGTTTTTTACTAAAAAAATATAGCCTATTTTGATCAAAGTTAATAAAAATTGTAGGTCTCGTAGAATGTATAGTATAAATTGAAATTTGATCCGTTGAAATTTTCGACTTTTTCGTATAAATATTTCACACTAGTCTCTTCGCTGTATTACTTAGTCCAATTTATAACTCGTAACGTCTATAGCTTAAAATTCATTACATAAGTAATCAAATGTCTTCTTGGTTGACTATTTTATAACTTGTAATATCTATAGCCATTACGTATGTGTTAACTTGATTACTTCTGAGTAACTTTTTGTTTCAAATAAATTAGGATAATGAAGTTGAAAATCTTATACGATGATAACTCCAAATAAAATGTGACTATTTTAATAGCTAGTTAGCAACTAGTTTTGTACCAAGAAAAAAAATGTAATAATCACCTAGTTTCAACCATAGTTAGGTAGATTTCATTAATTTGAAGAGATCAAATTCCCCCTCAATGTAAGGGAATTGTGTCATATTAATTCCTACCCCTTCTTTAATTCCTACCCCAAGTTTTTGTTCGGAAAAACTTGGTGGTGTGAAAAAACAAATTCTCCCTCCCTTAGGGTGTGTTCGATAGAGATTAGAATTGGATTAAAATTGAAAAATTAGTCGTTATTGTTGATTTTCATTATACGAGTGAAACCCAATAACGACTATATTTTCAATTTTAATTGAATTTTAAGACCTACCAAACATGTTCTTAATATAAAAAAAAAGGAATTGGAAAAAGTGAAATATAATTATTATTCAATTAAACAAGTCAAGTAATTGATGGCTTGACCAAAATTATTACCACTCTTTTTCGAACCTTATCATTGTCAAAATGGTGATTAGAGTATAAGAAATGGGTGGTTGGTTGGCTAGAATTTTCAATGTCCATCTTCATTCTTACACCCCCATACCCACCCACTCCTCTGTGTGTATGTATGTATGTATGTCTCTCTCTCTCTCTCTCTCTAGCTTATCATACTTATCATTAAAGCCTGCATGAGGTCAATAATTGCAATGACCCCAAAAGCATGACATATCTGACCCAGTCACCTCCTCTAGATGAGTACTTTAATTGGAACTCTATTTAATAGCCACCCCCATGCGTGTGGGACCAACTACTCACCAATTTATGTATTTTTAATACGAATAATATGCAAATAAATGTATAAGTAGACAAATTGTTTCGTGGGAATAAT